TATATATATGTATGTGTGTATATCTTTGTCTATATACATCTATATCTAACTGGCTCCATCTATCTATCTATCTATCTATCTATCTATCTATCTATCTATCTCACATGTGCATGCTAATTTTCCCCAGTAGGAAGGAGAATATAGACTCTCTGAGGGCAGAGTCTGCATCATTTCTATCTTGGTACATATCCTGTGCATAGTAGACACTGAATAAATGAATGAATGAGTTGGAAAGCACCTCAGGGGACATATACATCATTCTACATCTGGCCCCAAAGTCCCTCTACCAAATCACAAGTGAACAGTCATCCATACTCTCATCCATCCTCTTCTTAAAGGTAGTCCTAACATTTACATTACCTTCTGTGGAGGATCATTCCAATTTTGGACAGTCTCAGTAATTTTTCCTTGTGGTAAGCCAAAACCTACCTCTCTACAGTTTCCTAGTTCTCTCCTCTGGAGACAAAAAGAACAAGTCTAACCTTTATTTCATGCAACAGCCTTTCAAGTACTTGAAGCATAGTCTCATAAGTACCATTTCCTTGAAGCTTCTCTTTTCCATACTAAAAGTTCTCAATTACTTCAACTGATACTGTTTTTTATCCAGCTCTCTCAGAATCTTAATTGCCTTATTTTTTTTTTATCATTTCTAGCTCATCAATGTCCTTCCTAAATTGTCACACTTAGAACTGAATACAATATTCCATATATAGTCTGAACAAGGCATAATACAAGAGAGCTATCAATTCTCTCATTCTGGATATTTGGCCTCTCTTACCAGTAGCTTAAGATAATCATTAAAGTCTACCTCATCAAATGACACTCCTTTTATGAAACTTTTCCTAATCTCCTAAACTGGAAGTGCGCTCTCTCTCTCTCTCTCTCTCTCTCTCTCTCTCTCCTCTCTCTCTCTCTCTTCTCTCTTTCTTCTTCTTCTTCTTCTTTCTTCTTCTTCTTCTTCTCTTCTTCTTCTTCTTCTTCTTCTTCTTCTTCTTCTTCTTCTTCTTCTTCTCCTTCTTCTTCTTTCTTCTTCTTCTTCTTCTTCTTCTTCTTCTTCTTCTTCTTCTTCTTCTTCTTCTTCTCTTTCTTCTTCTTCCTTTTACTTACATACTAATTTGTATTTCATTTAACTGTGTGCCTGTTTAGCATACCAACTGGACTATGAACTCCAAGAGGGAAGGCAGCATGTTTTCCTTGCCTTCTACTCCTCTAAATGTCTAACACAGTACAGTATACTGCCTATAATTTGCTGTTATTGTTGTGGTCATTGTTGAGTCATTTTCAGTCATGGAGCGGTTCATGATTTCCTTCTCCAAATCATTTTACAGATGAAGAAAATAAGGAAAACAGGTTTAATTTAAGCCAGATTTCAACTCATGGAGATGAGTCTTCCTTACTACAGGCTTACCACTCTATCCACTGCATCACTTAGCTGCTCTAAGAAATTGAACTTTTTGCCCTCAAGAAGGTAATAGTCTGTGGGGGTTATAAACAATATATACATGCATTGTTGTTGTTTAATTCAATTAGTCATGTCCTACTCTTCGTGACCCCATTTCAGGTTTTCTTGCAAAAATACTGGAATGGTTCGACATTTCCTTGTTTAATTCATTTTACATATGAGGAAACGGAGGCAAAGAGGTTTAATTTAAGTGATTTGCCAAGGGTCATATAGCTAGTAAGTATCTGAGACCAACTTGGAACTCAGATCCTCCTGACTCCAGGACTGGTATTCTGTCCACCATGTATATGTGTGTGTGTGTGTGTGTGTGTGTGTGTGTGTGTGTGTGTGTGTGTGTGTGTGTGTGTGGATGTGTGGATGCGTGTGTAACAACTTGAAAGAGTAAATCAACACAGAGGCCAATTGTAATGTTGGAAGGCTGGTGATGAAACATCCAACCAACCTCTTGGCAGAGAGATTATTTACTAGAGGTAAAGAATGGGATATGCATTTTCAGACATGGCAAATGCATAGATTTGTTTTGCTTGGCTACATTAACTGTGGCCTTTACAAGGCAGGGCTTCCAAAGAGGATAAGGAAGAATGGTGACCTAATTGATAATACAATTGCAAAAAAAGAAAAGAGCATCAATAAAATTTAAAACATATAGAAACTAAAAGATTCAGATAAGAACAAAAACAGTGTTACTATGTTAAATTTAATATATGTATGTTTATACACATACATATGACTTTTGAAAAGAAGCTACTTAACAGAAGCTCACATACAACCTTTTTTGTTTTTTTTGTTTTGTATACTTAAATATTAATTTTTCTTGATGATAACATCATCATGAAAAATAATCTTTAAAAATAGTCCATTTCTAACCTACTAGTTATAGGCTATCAGGAAGAGAAATTCTAGTTAGGATAGCAAAAAAGAGCCACTTTTAATAAATTAATTTTACCAAAGATGTTTTAGCTATAAATCATCCATGAATTCAGATGATCTGAACTGAATTTATATCACCTGTTTTAGCAATCAAACAATCCATTAGAGGTCTGCTTTTTCTCACATCACATATTTAGAATTTATAAATGACTGGTGTCAAGATTAAATAACTACTCAACAAATTTTGTGAGTTTTTTGACATTTAGTTGTAATATATACTTAACATAAATATGCATTGGAATAATTTTATGAGCATTATGTGCCTCCTAATTCACTGATATGCAATTGTGGCATGATTTCAATAAAATTTTACTAGCTCAAGTACTGAGACGCATCTTAAAAACAAATTATAGTAGCAAGTTCATATATTGCTAATTTGTTTACATTGTTATTAATAGATTCAAGGCTTCTCACATGTTTCAGAGGTTTTTAAAAGTACTTAAGGGTAGACTTACATTTAGTCTCTGGCTATTGGAAATAATCTTGCTAGGTGTATATTTATAAGAATGAATAGTTCAAACATATTCAGTTATTTAAAATCCTTACATGTTAACATGAACACATTGGTTTTCACTTTAAAAAAATGTGGTAGAGAAATCTAAAGTAATCTTAATCCAAGTATTCAAAGATCTGTTGATTATTCTGTGCTTCCTATCAGGCACAAGGACATTTCTACTACAGTATGGCAAGACAACTTTGTTATGTTATCATGAAATCCCACAGAAGGAAACTCAAAATACAGGATTAGGGCAAGTTATTTAACTGTGCCTTTCAGGGGAAACACGATAAGACAAAAACCAGCATTTTAAGTATAGGATGCTGCAATTCAATTCAACTCAACATTGTTAGGGACTTATCGTGTGTTCTGTACTCTTATAACCACTACTGGGGACACAAAAACAAAAACAATGATGTTTTTTAAAGCTATTGTCCTCGAGGAGCTTATATTATTCCTGAGGAACTTGCAATCTCTTAGAAAAACTTAAACAGAAGACATAATACCTGTCCTCAAGGAGTTTATGATCATGAACTTAACCTTAGTTAAGGAAATGTAACCTTCTACAGTTTACAGAAATAACTAATTCCCCCAATTTGTGTGCATTTAGGTATTTCATTTAGCAATAAAAAAGTTGGACACTATTTTGAACTAAAGAACTGAACCTCTTCAGTGGTACTGTGAATATACTCTGGACTGCTACATCTTTCTTCCTCTAATCTACTTGCACTTCCTCCAACTTTACTGTTTCAGTGTGATGGACTACTTAAGAGGGGTAAGTTTGTTCAGGCAGTCATTCATTCACTCTCCCACCTGCCAAAGCCACCGATTAAATAAAAGGCCACTTCTAATGGAAACGTAAATCTCATAAGGATGCTGTCAGAAAAGTCTGAACCAACAATGTGCAAGTTAGCTCGAAATTTCCTGGAAGCCGCTCTCGCCACCTCTAATGAAGACACTTTGTGCGATGTTATTTTAACAGTGCAATAAAAATAACAAGGCATTAAACAAGCCAAAGATTTAAGAGGCAGGAAAAGTAATTCTGGAGGAAAAAAATTGATAGAAATAAACAGAATCTAACTAATGATACATTCAGTCAAAGTAAATCAATTACTCAAGAGTCTGCTTTCTTTAATATCCCTTAGATTTTCTTAAGTTTTAAATAGATGTGTGACAGAAGATGAGTGACTAACTTTTCCAAGTGTACTGAGAAAGAGCTGGTTTCCTCTACTTTCTCTTTCTTTCTTTTTCTTTTTCTTTTCTCTTTCTTTCTTTCTTTTTTCTTTCCTCTCTCCTTCCCTTTTCCTTACTTCTCTTTCTTTTTCTTTCTTTCTCTTCCTTCCTTCCTTCCTTCCTTCCTTCCTTCCTTCCTTCCTTCCTTCCTTCCTTCCTTCCTTCCTTCTTTCTTTCTTCCTTCCTTCTTTCCTTCCTCTCTCCCTCCCTCCCTTTTCCTTACTTCTCTCTCTTTTTCTTTCTTTCTCTTCCTTCCTTCCTTCCTTCCTTCCTTCCTTCCTTCCTTCCTTCCTTCCTTCCTTCCTTCCTTCTTTCTTTCTTCCTTCCTTCTTTCCTTCCTCTCTCCCTCCCTCCCTTTTCCTTACTTCTCTTTCTTTTTCTTTCTTTCTTCCTTCTTTCTTTCTTTCTTCTTCCTTCCTTCCTTCCTTCTTTCCTTCTTTCTTTCTTTCTTTCTTTCTTTCTTTCTTTCTTTCTTTCTTTCTTTCTTTCTTTCTTTCTTTCTTTCTTTCTTTCTTTCTTTCTTTCTTTCTGCCTATCTATATATCTGTCTCTCTCTCTCATGGAGGGATAACTCAAATATTGAGTTCTCATTGAAAATCTAAGTGGGTTCTAGCTCATGAAGCTTTGCTAGTAGTTAGTCCCAAGTGGAATCACTCTAGTATGGTGAATGCAGTGCTAAAGAATGGGAAACTGACAAGTATAGGTGTGTGGAAAGACTGCACAAGCTACTTGAGGTGAATGTACGTAGAAATTAGATATGTGATTGTTTTGAGGATATGTTAAGGAGATGAAATGGGGTAGAAACAGAGACAATGAAAAATCACGTCAATTTTGTTTCTAAGTACTCACAAGCCTAAAGAAATCAATTATTTCACATACCTATAGGGAAATATTCGCTCATTTTCTTCTTGAAAATTTTGAAGTCAACTTCCAAGAAGACACAAAAGATGATCCGGTCCATCTATAAGAAACAAGAGATGTTCACAATAAAAACATGTCAAAATTTAAATACATTTTTGGGTAAACATGACCTTGTGATATGAACAAATTAAAAAGGATTTTCTGTTGTTCATTTGTTTGTTTCTGTACTACATTCATTTTTCACATAATAACATCATTCATGCTTATAGCTTAATGTGATCTGAAGTAAATGTCTACTGTTTATGTATATGCTACCATGAGCTCTTTGGAGAAAAAGGGCTATATAAATCTAATAAAAATAATAAATGACAATAAGTCACCTTGGAGCAGGCTAAAAATGAGATACAGTATTCTGACAGGGTAGGTAGCCTTTCTATTTGATAGAAGAATCACATGAGAGTTGTCTACAAGGATAACAATAAAATAAATGGGTAAGCAAAGAGCTTTTTCAGCCTGCCTTTATTGAAGAAATGTATTTCCTGAATCTCTTAGTATTGTAGAATGGCTTAAAAAGCTTTCCTGTAGTTTAATTTACATGAAGCCATTTGCTTTCAACTTAATACACTCAGAAAGGCAACAGAAATAAAAGTTAATTAGATGAGAGGGACATGAGGTCAATAAAACTTTCAGTATGGCGCATACCAGTTGAAAATACAAATGCAAGTGTAAAAGTACAACACTACATGGATAGACACATTTTTTTAAAACAAGATTTTCAATTGTGAAAGGAATTTATTTGAAAAATTCTGACGGGAAAAAAAATTGCTGTTGAATAGCTTCTGTGTGTCTGCTTTTGAATTTGTGACCCAATTTCATGTTCTGAAGAAGACAAAGGAACATGCCTATTGCATGCTGTCTTAGGCTACCTAGCAGACACTAATAATCAAGCAAATGATGGATCCAAAACCCAAAAGGAAAACCAAGTAAAGTAAAGGAATATCAGGAAGATACTAATTGAAGACAAATGATGCTCCACCTTTTTATCTGCACAAGTAATGGGATACAGAGCTAAGCTGGCAAAGGTCTCCAGCTTCCCTGGTAGTTTGGAGTAATACCATGAATGCTGGCCCAGGCCCAGGCCATAAAGCTCCACAAAAGGCCACTCCAATGTTTGTCTGAGGTCAACGTCCATTTGGGACCTCTCAGAATTGATAAAGAATGAAACTAAATCCTTTGCCCTAAAATGGTACGCTCACCAAAGACTCAGTATTTAGCTGGACTGTGAAGGCTGCTCCAAACTACAGTGTACTTCCTACAGCTAGTCAATCATTCAGTAAACATTAATTATGTGTCTTCTATATGCCAGGCGCTGTGCTAAGCACTGAAGATAAAAAGACATGAAAGATAGTTCCTGCCCTCAAGGAGCCCACAATCTAATGGGGGAGACAGAATGCAAGCAAATATGTTCAAACTATATACAGGATAGATAGGAAATAATTAAAAGATGGAAGGTGATAGAATCAAGAGTGATAAGAAAAAGGCTTCCCATAGAAGATTTTTTTTGTTTGTTTGTTTTGCCTAGGCAATGGGGTTAAGTGACTTGCTCAAGGTCACACAGCTAAGTAAGTATTATGTGTCTGAGGCCAGATTTGAACTCAGGTTCTCCTGAATCCAAAGCTGGTGCTCTATCCACTGCACCAGCTAGCTGCCCGAAAATGGAGTTTTATCTGGAAATGTAAGGAAGCCAGGGAAGCCAGTAGGTGGAGATGAGGAGGAAGAACATTCCAGGAATGGGAGACATCCAGAGAAAGTGACAAGAGATAGACAAGAGATGGAGTACCTTTTAATGAAATGGCAAGAGTCCAGTGTCACTGAATTAAAGAACATGAGGTAGAGAGTGAGATGTAAGAAGACTAGGAAGGTACAGGGGCTAGGTTACAAAGGGCTTTGGAAGCCAAACAAAGGATTTTGCTTTGATGCTGGAGGTGATAAGGAGTCACTGGTGTTTATTGAGTAGGGGAGTGACATGGTCAGACTTGAGCTTTAAGAAAATCACTTTGGTAGCTGAATGAAGGATGGATTGGAGTGGCAAGAGATTTGAGGGAGTCAGACCCACCAGCAGGTATTGCAATAGTCCACATGTGAGGTGATGGTGTCAGAGGAGAGAAGGGGACATATTTGAGAGATGTTACAAAGATAAAATTGACAACTTGTAAAAACAGATTGGGTAAAGGTCAGAGAAGAAATAGCGAAATATTGAGGATGACTGCTATATTGCAAGACTGAAAGACTAGGGCAAGGGTGGGGAACCTGCGGCCTTGAGGCCACATGTGGCCCTCTAGGTCCTCAAGTGTGGCCCTTTGACTGAATCCAAATTTCACAGAACAAATCCCCAAAGGATTTGTTTCTGTAAAAGCTGGACTCAATCAAAAGGCAGCACCCAAAGATCTAGCCTGGAGGCTGGAGGTTCCCCACCCCTTGACTAGAAGATGTTGTTACCTTGGACGGTAATAGGGAAGTTAGAGGGAAGAGGGGATTTGGGGAGAAAGATAATGAATTTTGTTTTGTACATATTGAGTTTAATATGTTTACTGGACATCCAATTTGAAGTATCTGAAAGGCAGTTGGAGATGTGAGATTAGAATACAGCAGAGAGGTTAGGGAAGGATAGGGGAATTTGAAAGTGTTCAGCATTGAGATGATAGTTAAATCCTCCCATGCTAAAGAGATTACCCAGTGAAGTAGAATAGAGGAAGGAGAGGAGAGGGCCTAGACAGAATCCTGTGTCTGCCTACACCATTGTTAGAAGGGATGATTTGTATGAGGATCTGGCAAAAGAGACTGCAAAGGAGCAAAATGATACATAAGAGGAGAATCAGAGGAGAGTAGTATCTTCCAAAGAGTAGTATCTCCCAAACTTTGAGATATTAGAGTATGAAGAAGATGGTGATTAGTGTCAACATTTGCAGAGATGTCAAGGAGGATGAGGAATGACATAAGGCCACCTGATTTGGCCATTAAGACATAGTTGATAATTGTAAAGAGAGCAATTTCAGTGGAATGATGAGGTTGAAAGCCAACTTATAAGGGGTTAAGAAGAAAGGAAGAAGAAAGAAAGAGGGGGAATCTATTATAGAAGGCCTTTTGAAGGAATTTTGTCACAAGGGGCAGAAGAGATATAGGATGATATTGAGGATGGAAGGATCAAGTGAGGGTTTTTTCAGGATAGGGAAGGGACATGAACATGTTTCTAAGTAGTTGATAGAGAGAGATTGAAAATATCTGATTGAGTGGGGATGATAAAGTAAGAAATCTATTGGGAGAGATGGGATGGAATGGAATCACTTCAATAAATAGAGGGGTGGGCCTTTGTAAGTAAGGAGTAATTCCACATCTTTATACGAGTAGTGAAGGAGGATAAAATGGCGAAAGGCATCAGATTGATATGAGGTAAGGAAGAGGAGAGAAAAAGGAACTCAAAATGAATAGTATCAACTTTTTTTCTGTAAAATATCAGGATCTTATCTGTGAGTGTAGGACCAGGGAAGCCAGAAATTTGAGGAAGGATGGAAATGTTTGGGAGAACCACTGTGGAAAGTGGGATAGTGAGTTGATAAGGAAGGTATAGTAAGATTATTTAGCTGTAGTAGAGGCTATTTGATGTTGTGTAACACAAATTTGTACTAAACCCAGTGGCATGATTTTCTTCCACCTTCATTCAGCACCACATGTACAGGAGCAGAAGTAGCTGATTTTGGTAGTGTTCCAAGGTTGATAGTTGGCAGGGCACATTCAGCAATATAAGGTGCTAGAGACTTCAGGTAAAAAGACAGCATAGAGCAAAACTGGTTCTCTAAGAGGTTAAGATGGGGGAAAGAGAAATAAAGGTGATGGCCTGGGTCAGAACTGAGGGGTTGAGGGATTAATCGTCATAGTGTATAAAAAGAGCAGCACTTGATAAAGGAAGGTAGAGGGAGAGGTGGAAATCCAAAAGATTATGGTCAGATAAGGGGGTTTCAAAATTCTTGAACATGGAGGTGGTGTAATTATCGGGGAAGAAAAGATCAAATACATGACTATCTTTATTTGTGGCTGAGGTGGGTGGAGGAGTAGGTCATAGGAAGTGAGTTAGGTTATTTGAGGGAGAGTCAATATGTATGTTGAAGTCTCCTAGCATGAGGTCAAAAGTTGGGGAGGATAAAAAAAGGTTTTGATCTAGGTAGAGAACTCATTGAGGAAGGAAGGGAAGTAATCTAGGAGCCTATAGACAACACCTAACAGGATTTTAATTGGTCAGTAGAATTGAATTACATACACCTCAACAGAGGATAAGGCACTGAGCTACAGAGGTAGGGGGAAAACCTAAAAGTCGCAAAAGGGAGTAAGGAATATTCAGCTGTCCACTTCAGCCAGTGAGTCAAGTAAACAAGGGAAGGTACGGCAGTACAGAAGGTACAGAAAGGATGGTCTGGGAGGCTGTGTCATCAGGGGAGTACCATGTTTCACTAAAAGCTAGAAAATGGAAGGAGTAGGATAGGAAAAAAAAATTCAGGATGAGAAGTTAATAACCTAAGATACAGGCATTCCAAAGGGTGTAATGGGTAGTATTTGTTTGGAACTATGGGATTGGAGGGTTGAGGGGGATGGGAATAAGAAATTGGGTGTTGTGGTTGGGGAATGGAGTTTGAGTGATGACATACAGGGGTTTGGAATCACTGTGACATGTAAAATATGACCTGATGTAGGGGCAGCTAGGTGGCACAGTGGATAGAGCACCGGCCCTATATTCAGGAGGACCTGAGTTCAAATCTGGCCTCAGACACATAACACTTACTAGCTGTGTGACCCTGGGCAAGTCACTTAACCCCATTGCCTAACCAAAAAGAAAAAAAAATATGACCTGATGTGAGAATGTTCATTATCCAAGGGAAGGTACTCTTCTCTTCTCAGGGAAGGCTATAGAAAAGTGAAACACAAGATGAAACAAAGATGGTCAGATGGGAGTCCCCATTGTACTTTTTCTCTTCCCTCCAAAGCCTGGATATCTATCAGGTGGGGAAATGGCACGAGGAGATGGATTCCCACTCCTCATTGACTTTT